TCCTGGAAGCGTCCAGGTTTAACCATTCAGTATGGCGAACAGTAATTACGTCATGGTCACGTGAGTGCAAACACCCTACTGATAATGCCCATATTTAGGGGTGCAGTAAACATGTCTCCCTTACATAATCCTTATCGATCCTAAATACTGACTTGGACGTCCACCGTTTTATCATTCATCACGAAAATAATTAGATAATACACCTGACGTTAGTCCTTAAAGTACATAAAAGTACATAAGTTCCTAAATATTTGGAAATTACACCGAAGACATTTCATTTCATTTACACCAAAGACTGCACATGTATATAGTTTCATCCTGCACTACATTGTCTTTTGTATAGTATATAATTATATAAGTGTCGTAGAATTGCTGTAAAAGTTGCCATACGTTGTGTCATCTACATGTGTTCAGCAATAAAGTTATTAGTATTATGCATTATGACTAGATAAGTACGAGCGGATGTTCACCCCCCACCCCCACCCCAGGGACCCAACGTCATTCAGGCGGCAGGAACACGACAAGTGAAATAAACCCCCTTGAGACACCCTCCTGATGAAATACTTAGACCCAGTGTCTCCGTGTCCATCGAATTATTCCAATATGGCCTTACTTAATGTCATTAATTCCCTATATCAACTTAATGATGTGAAATTTCCTGTCCATAATTAGGTCGCGATAAGAGCTACTTAAGTCTCTCACGTGCCCTAATCGTATCCCGTAGTCACCTACTTAAGATTAATGCCCAATTAAACAAAGAAAAAACTATATAAAACGTAAAAGTGCTCATAAGTGCCATGTCTAAGTTTAGTCTTTTAACATTTTTCAAGCACGTTTAGCCAAAGAAACAAGAAACTCATTCTCTTACATCTTTCCCAGAATCTTCTCTTTGCATGGCTCTTACCTTAATTGAAATTGGTAAAGATTAATACCATGTACACGGACTTAATTGTTGATGAGATACACACACCAGACGTCTGCTGCGATACCAAGGGAAGCCACCAGGGGGACCAAAATCTAACAATGTTTTGATAGATCAAGACCTACCCACATACCAAACTTAAACACAATGCTTACAAAGTTCCTTGAGTTATGTTGTTCAACCATAGATAAAGAACTAAAGCTACCATAAACATGTAGGGTAGCTAGCTAACATATATATAAAACGTTTGATACATCGCTTGAAGCCTAGTGTTAACTATGGAAGAGTTTAGACCAGACAAACTTGTAAAACGACTGATGGAAGCTGCAGTAACTTCACTCGCCGGTCCACAAATTCTGTCCCCACAAGTGATGTTGTTCGGGGGAAGAAGAAGCAAATTGATTGCTCGGTTAAGGTTAATTTGCACGCCGAGGTAGATTTCATCAGGAGTAATTTACACGCTTTAAGGGCAAGGCAGAGTGTGAAATTGTGCACATCGTGCCTTGCCTATTTGTTTTTTGCTTTATCTAAGTGATAGGTGGGAGGGTTTCAATTGTTACCTTCACCAAGAAGGCTATGTTGTTGCATTTTGGTGGTGGCGTGGAAGTCTTGGTGTGCTAGATTTTATCTGTTTGTGGTTTTTAAAACAACATACTCAGTAACAAAAAAAATACGGATGGATTGTTATATTTGGTACGTGGTTAGGTTTTGACGACCTATAAGATGAATAGGTTTTGTGTCCCTGGAGGCTTTCGTCGGTACTGCCAAGCCGTTTTTGCGTTCTTCCTTAACGATTTTTTTGAATGGTAGATACCTTTTGAGATCAGAAAAATGAGAGGTTTTGCACCCTAGCAGCTTTCTTCGAAACTGCAGTCTTTTTTCTATTGTTTTATATTCTTTCGATGCTCCAACTTGTTTTGTTCTCGGAAGCAACGCCATGAGCATTGACTATTCTCCAGACGTGTATATATGTGTATGCATATGGTAATAATATTGGAAAAGGCAAGCATGAAAACAAAAGCATCCCCCTCCCCCTCCATGAGAAGTGTCTCATTTACGGTGATCAACAAATGTCTAATGGCGTCTGGAGGATATGCATACTATGCACATAGTTAAAAGACCTGATTTATGCATACAGAAAGGTAAACAAAATGCACAACACTAAGTCTCTATATAAATCATTTTGTAGGCGCAGCATGCGGAAGCTGGAGCTAAGCACATACAATGCATTGTTAGGTGTTACGTACCAGTATTACGTACAGCTTGGAGTTCATACCAGACGTACTGGACACATGTTCAGGTTTTAGTGTGAAATGAGTCAAAACGAATAGACAAGACAATGAAAACGTCAACGATAGAAACTGTTCAAATTACCATCATCCATTGCTTTTGTACAAACCAGACGAAACATTTTACGTCATATTTTGTATATCATTGAGGAAGTCTGTCGACTTGACGGGAGGTAAAAAAGCGCCCCCTATGAAAATATGTACAGCTCTGCAGCAGTATATCTCGCACATGAGCCGAACGCTGGAACACTTTGGCATGGTGTTGCTAACGTTAACATTGCCAAAAATGACTATCGTGTCCACTTGTGAAGATAATGATTATCTTTGGGAGCAAAGATTCAGACTCATCCTGCCCCTGGTACTGATATACCACTTGTGAAGATAATGATTATCTTTGGGAGCAAAGATTCAGACTCATCCTGCCCCTGGTACTGATATACCACTCTACCACAACCCTGTCCTTGGTACTGATACCACCCTACTGCAACCCTATCCCTGGTGCTGAAAGTACCGCACCACAACTCTGTCCCTGGTACTGTTACCAACCTACCACAACCCTGCCCCTGGTACTGATACCAGCCTACCACAACCCTGTCCCTGGTACTGATACCAGCCTACCACAACCCTGTCCCTAATGCCAGCCTACCACAACCCTGTCCCTGGTACTGATACCAGCCTACCACAACCCTGTCCCTGGTACTGATACCCCCTTACTTACCACTCTGGATGTAGTACATACCGCTTCTCAACTTTGGGAATTTGTAGTGCAGTCTTAAATGGAACAGCATCAAGTACCCTCCTCACATGAACAGCTATGGTATTAAACGTCACTCACTCGCAAAGTGTTGTTTATTTAGAAACAGCCAGTCATATATCTCCTGTCATTTTATTTAGTGGAACATGTCTGTCAGCCGCACATTCAGACGGAGAAGAAGAAAAATGGCCCCTAGCAGCTCGCTTCGTACACAATCTTAACCGAATCTATCTTTAATTCAAAGAGGTACAGTGGTGTACGTAGCGACAGAGCAATTTGAAAATGTGGCTATGTGAAGCTGGCGTGTATGTAAAGGTATCACTGTTTTAGTTCAATTGATGGATCGTACTAGTAAGTTAGCACCAATTCAAGCTTTAGATCTAGTAGTGTCAAAACTAAATGATGATTAAATGTATCGGATTTACGAAGCTAGATGATTGTTGCGCGTGTAAGGACTGGATAAATGTAGATGCAAATAGTCAGATTATCGACTGTTTGAATGCCAATGCACTTCAGACGATGAAGCTCTGCTGTTTACCTGCTCTACGGGCCTGCCGTGCTTTTTTTCTACCCCACCGCGAGTTTCCTACAGTTTGATACGCTCCTGGTAGTAACGAATTCCCGGTCTTGTGGCGTTGACAAATCGACCCAGTCGTGTGCGTAGTCATGTACAATCAAACTTATCAGTTCTTTTATTACAGAGCGCAATTACATCAGTGTTGAAGCTTACCGGGGCGTGAAGCTGAACCTTAAACCAACAATCACTTTGCTTCATCGGAATCAATAGGAGCAATAACACGGCAATTCCCTGGGTTCGTGTATTGTAATTAAACTCCCGCTGCTGCTTCCGAAATGCAATTACGGTGCCATTCAAGCGGGGACAGTGTAGCAGCGAGAGGAGATATTACTTCCCGCCGTCATGGCTTCTCCCTGACACCACGCAGTCCCACCTGAGAACCGGCGCACGGTGTGTTTATTGGCCGGTGAGTTGAGTGACAGGGGAAGGGGTTAGGGAGAGACACAGATCTAGAGACGCAACTTTTCCTGCACGGGTGCGAAATATGCATCGAGTACCGAACATTGGAAACAAATGATTTTGTAACTCACGCACGCACGCACGCACGAACACACAAACATACATACACACACACACACACACACACCAATGACTTTGTAACACATACACACAAACTCTAATATACACACACACACACACACACACACACACGCGCGCGCGCGCGCGCGCGCGCGCACATGTACAGGACATCAAACAATAGCAGCATTGTGCGTTAAATAAGGGCTTCCTATCACATTAAGAGGTCTTAAACCTCCATTAAATAAGCAAAACTAGCTTGAACAAAAACTAGCTCCAGTGACAAGCAGGAACAATCATGGCGTAAGGGTTTCTAGAAACAAAACGTTCTACTGTACCAGGCTTTCAAACAATCTACGTACATGGATGGCGTACATTACAATGAAGCTAAGAACTTTCCCTAACTTCCGCTGCACCTTGAGACTGCTACATTGTGCACACACAGAAAGCTAATCCTAGCGATGCTAGCGGATACTGCAACTTGCTTTTTACGGCAATGCAATTGTACACAAATAGCTGCAAAGTTGAAAGACAAAAATATGGACGTAAATTTTATTACCAATCTGGATTTTGTATCACACATGGGCGACTGATCCACAGAGTTACCTCCGTTTGCGATCGGGACGCATGTGACAAGCCCAACATAACTGACATGACGAAGGCAGGGGCGTGGCATCATAAAGTGTGTGACGGGTCAAATACACTCAGGTCGTCGAGTGGGGTCGTCTCAAACAGATTGACGTTAAGTACCAATGAAAGCATAGGGGTGACGTGGGGAAACTTTGTTACCAACATCAACAACAAAGAACGGCAATCTATTCCACACCTTACTGGTCAACAACCAATTAGTCTTAACCAAACCTGACGCTACAGAAATGGTGGTGTTTGCACCTGTCATCACGTGGTTAAACAGTGTTGCATAGATACCCTCCGTGTCCTCGCACTACACGTACTACACGTACTACACATTCAATACGCATTGATCGAGTGAACAACCTGCTACCTAGCGGGTTCGAGGACTCCGGTTCTCCGTGAAGGTCACTGACAAAGTGACAGGATATCCTGAGCGGTGGGCCGGGGAGGTCTTATGGAGGTACCGCGCCGTGCCCTACCGAACATCGCCAGACCCCAGAAGCTACACCGCATGACGGTAACGCTCGACATCACAGCCCGCTTTCCCGGCAAGGATCACAACAGCACACTTCAGCGGCCAGACATGGACCGGACGTACCGGAAAGCTATCGAGGCGGCCTGGCCTCGACTCGTGAGAGACCTGGTGCTGAAACCCACGTTCTTACAGCGCCTGAGGACACACGGTGTGTTCTCCCAGGAAGTTTTGAACATCATTCAGGTGGGCAGAATGTACACTGCACACTGCTCTCAAACTAGTCTTAGGCATTTTAATATTCCCAATTGTAAAAAGACATAACGTTACATATTTGTTAGGGTAGGGTGAAGGGTATGATCGTGTTACATTTAAAGTAAAAAAAATCGATATGTTTTGATACTTTTCCCCTATCATGCCTTGCTCACAGGTTTCAAGTATTATATTGTACCACATGTACATGCCAATTAAGAACTGGAATGTGTAACTCTTTTTCTGACAACTCCAAGCAATTCTTGATATTTCACTGTCGTAAGCAGGATTAGCTTTCATATGGTATTAGCTGGATTGCTGGTACCTTATTTACAATATATATAACGGGTAGTACTTTACGTTACCACTTCAGAATAAAGCTGGCCAGCCTTTGAGTGGTGTTTCAAAACACTTGTTTCTTTCAACTCAGTGCCTCTGAAAAAACACTGAACAGTTAAAACAACATACATGTATGTCCTTGTATGATACCCAAGGTCAACTGTTGACCTTGGGTATCAACATTTGAGATGCCAGAAACATGTTTCAGATGTTCAGAAATATCATTTTCAGAAACATGCATCACATTGATTTTCTAAAGCTTGCTATTCTGTAGAATGCTGTAAATATTTCATAGATGCCAGATTTCAGAAAAACACTCGACCCACATAAAAGTGTTCTCCATTATAAGTTAATTTCAAGCACACGCATCCAGAGTATAGTCTATCCTAGTAGACTACCAATGATACATTGAGAATAAATAAAGGCTTTTGATTTGAATGACCAGTACAAACACAACTGTGCATTGTAATAATAGACAATGACTTGTAGCACCTCATGCATGCTTGTTACAAATAAACTATCCCCAAAACAGCTCTTTCCTCTTCTTCCAGTAGACTATCTGCTGTAGTGCCTGCATAGCTGTGTGGGAAAGATTTACTACAATGTAACTCCATAGTTGACCACTTTGCCCATGTTGTTTCTGTATGGTTAGAATGAGCCCACCCCAGTGCTGCAGAAGTCCCTGATGTTAAAGTTGTTGATGAACAGAGACTCTCGCCAGTTCCACCAGTTCTGCCAGGTCCTGTCTGACAGTGGTTATCACAGCCTGGCCAGGGCACTGGAGGACCCACAGACTGACCAGCGCGAGCGTGAGTACACTTATGACATAGCTCAGGGATTGGAACTAGGCTACTTTGCATTTTGGCCCTTAGAACTAACCAGGATGATACCCAGGCTATAACGTTAATGTTAGTTATTGTCGGAACATGTAACACTACATAATCATGAGAAGAATAAACACAGCTATCTTTGCCATCATCTGACATATAACATAGCTACAATGTACTTTCCAAGTGTAAGGCCATGGGTGTGGAACAAAACATGCTTTGGACTGCTTTCCTACAAAGCTATATCATTGTCATGTATTGTTTTGGTAGGTTGAGGGCCAAAACTTAGAGGGATGCCCTAACCTTATCTCCATTTACATGACTGCATGGCATGTTCAAAGAAAGAAATATTCAAAGTTCAAACAGTTCTTTCTTTCCATTTTCAGAAGCGGAGGCTCTGAAAGAGGAAGTGACGAGCCTGCAGCAGCAGAACCGCCTGCTGGCCCGGCGGGTGAGGCAGCTGGAGGTGGACCAGCAGCGGACAAACAAGAAACTTGCAGAGATAACGGCAGAACTGAGATCCAAGGACAGTCGGTATGCAACACAGAGCTCTGCGGACGAGGACTTGCTAAAGAAGAGGAATAGAACACTGAGGGAACTCTTAGAGATGGAGGAACAATACAGGAGACGGATGACAAAACAAAGGGACGGGCGTGGACAGAAGTTATTATAGTGGCCTTTAGTTGCCGTAAGGAGAGAAATGCCTCTACCCCTATGATGGGGTCAAAAAATAGGTATCATTTTCTGAATGCTGAAACTGACCATTCTAAATGAGTGGCCAGTAGAATATGTATCGTTTGTACATTTTTAAAAATAATTATGAGATACAACTGCTGTAACTAGGCATACAATGCCAGCTGCTAACATGTTTGCAAATATTTTTCATGCTGTCATAAATGATGTCAGGGTAAATGGTATCAGAAGTAGGATGCCAGGAGTAAGTTTTTGGTTTAGAATTGAGCTTTTATTTAAGTCGAGAAAAGTGTCAGAACTGCTGCTGTTCAATAAAGTGTTAGATATCAACTGGGTTTTGCTACTTTCCCAATATGCATGATCCTTAAAATAGGGTGTTGTCATTTTGGTTGGTTAAACCTGAGAGAGTTATACCTATAAATTTGTCGAGTACAATGTCACAATTGCATAACGGTAATTACATTATACAAACTCAAATCTACCTGGCAAATTCCAGGTTTAAACATTGAACATAAAACAGACAAAATGTAATAGACACCCTATACTTTGCATCTTTACAGTTCCAGAGTATTAGTATAACACGAGCATAGGTTGACACATTTGCTGTTGTTATGTTTGTGTACTGTGATGCAACTTACCAATCCTTTTGTTAACTTCACACGTGCAAATCCTTTCAAAAGGCGTGAAAAACATATCTATTCTTCAAGTCCAATGACCAGGCTGGAAAATGACACAAATATGTACACCCAATAACTCATTATTTAGCTAATAATATACAAAATTCAACTGAAAGATAAAAAGAAATTTGTGTTATTCAGCTACAAAAGTTACTTGGTTTTAAACACTGAAATACACACACACTGATACATAAATTGGTTTGCTGAAAAAACAATGGATAGAAATCATTGTGTTTGTATGTGACATCATAAACACCAGACCTGTGATATTGTGATAAGTCCCAATTTTTTTGCAGTACTTTTATATTTGCGGTTTTGCAGTCAGTTCTGTAAGGCAAAACTTACCATTACAGTGAAGAAATAATTTGCCAGCTATTTTTGCTACACCTGGCACCATCGCAAACGAATAGTTCTGCAAACAAGTCTATTTTTCTCAGACCACGAATATTTGCTAACGCAAATACAAAGTGATTCACAGATGTCCGTTCTTCTGTATCAGTGCTTGATCCCTCTCCCCTCCCCCTTCCACAGCACCCTGAGCTCCACCTGCCCCCCTAGGTCCCTGATGGCGGCCTTCCCAACATCCTCCACATCCTTGTGCCGAGCCCGGGCCTCGTTGATGATGTCCTCGGCTCCCAGCTCCAGGATGGGGCCTGCGAAGTCCCTGGTCCTGGCAACCAGGTTACGGATGGCCATGCACCCTTGTTTCTACATCAAGAGTCAAGAAAATGCAAGGTCTAAAGGAACATCTGTTTGAGTATTTAAAAATGAGTTGTGAAAGAGTTCCCAAACCAATAGTAAAGTTCTATTTTTCACAACCATTTGTTTTACATGAGCCGGTGTTTCGATGACTGTCATCTTCATCAGGGCTAACATGACTACTTTACTGTAGAGCTAGTTGTTGCATGGTTCACTGTGCACTGAAGCTAGAGGTTACTGTAACAATACAGTACCAAGCGTAAAACAATTGTGACATACATAGGTATTGTTACAACATAATGTTACATGCGGTATTTACAGAGTTTTCAAACCAGTTTAGCTCACTGAAGTCATGACAAAGAAGACAGATGATACCAGTATGTACAGTATTGACAGCTTCATTGTTCACATGACTGATATTACAATTTAAAATACAAAACACACCTGAACAGAGGATTTGTCCATGTGAACCTTCATGGCTTGTACCACGGCCTCAGCTCCGTTGGCCGCCATGATGGCTTTGACGTTGTCCGTGTTTCGCAGAGCGAGAGCACACAGAGCAGCGCAGCCCTCCTCACACACCTGTGCCACACCCTGGGAAGGCGAGTTCAATAGGGTGAGCCTGGGTACCATCCTTGTTAGTTATTGTTAGTGTACATGCATATGAGGGCAGTTCATTAAAGGGTTTTGTATACTTGTGTCCCATAAACTGAAAAAAATGAATCTTGGCACACAAGTTTCAGTTGTTAAAAGACTGTGTGTATGGCAAATTTTGTTTCTCAGTCTATGGGAAAGAGGTCTAGGAAACCTTAAGGATGCTGATGACTGCTCTATAGGCTCCAGTATCAAACCTTTCTCTACTTCAGTAAAAGTCGAACTGTTAGGACTTCAGAGGTGAAAATAGGCAATGTGTGACCCATAGAAATCTGTATATAACTATACATGTGAAATTTTAGCATCTTTAGAATAACAGATAGTGATCTTCTTTCTTCACATTTGCACATCTACAGCATTATTCTGTTGATGTGGAAGATGTTATACTTAGTTAAAGGTAACTGTCATCCCTTACTATGTGGATGTTAAGTGCAGTGATGATCAGCTCCATCCCTCCTGTCTGCACAATTTTGGTCTTCACATCGTCATTCCCAGCGATCGCCTTCAGCAGACTGATGCCACGACTAGCCAAAGCCTGGAATTACAACCATCAACAGGCATGAAGTTCAAGGTACATTTTACCAGTAAATTCTACATCATTATACCAAGTATACTTACAGAAACTTGAGTAGGAACTTACAGAAGTTCTTACATAATGCATGTCAAAACAGTGGAACACTGGAACCTATAGTAGAACCTGAAGTATACCAAACACAGTGGAACCTACAACAGGTCCTACAGTAGGTCCCACAGAATACCAAAAACAGTGGAATTTACAGTAGGACTTACATAATACAAAAACAATGTAATCTACAGTCCTACAATCTACATTGCCTACCTTAAAAAAATTACCAAATACAGTGGAACCTACAGTAGATCCTTCACGTAGGTCTTACAATTTACATTATACAAACAAATTGTACTGTATGCATACTTATAATGTTATTTTATTCCTCTAATGATAATTGAAAGTATGTTGTTATAATTAAAAGCTTACCTGATGTCGAACATTGTCCCTCATGACATTCAGCACCAGGTCCAGTCCTCCCAGGTCTACAATAGCCTGACAGAACTCGTTCCTGACCGCCAGTCTGCTCAACGTCAGGCAGACTTCTGATGTGGTTCCTGCATCCCCTTTACAAGCTGACAAGATTCAGAATATCATTATCAACAACACATATAAGGAGAATACAATCTACATAATCCTAGAAATTTTGAGTTGAAAAAGAAACAGAGGAACAACAAACAATATACGTGCACGGTACGCGTGTGCATTTTGAAACTACATGTCATAATGCTACATAATGCTTAGTTTATATGTAGATGCAAAATGTATCATTACAATATTTAGCCTATTTATGTAATGACAATAGTCTTCAGACCTACGTATATAGGTCTAGAGAAATACTGATAAGGCTACAGTACTAATCAAATATAGTGAAAGATTGTATACATGATGAAACTACAAAGAAGAGCACAGATGAAATGTCTACAATGTCCTTCCTCACCTGTTAAACAAGCCAAGAGTGTCTCCAATGCTTTATTCTCCATCACCATCATTTTGGCGTGTTCGTGTGCCTTTCCGAACGGAACACGTATGTCATCATCAAACGTCAGCACCCTTACGACTGTGCACGCGGACTTCACGACATCTGCGTTGGCGCCGTGTGTTTCAAGCGCCTTCATCAGACAAGGGAGTAGGCCGTGCTCTATGTACGCCTGTCGGTTGGTCTCGTGCTTTAAACATGTGGCGTAAATTGCCTTAAAGGTGCTAGCCTGCAGCGGGGCATCATCCGGAAACTTGGTAAGAGTTTGTACGAGAAACGTCATGCTTGCCTCATCGATAAGGTCGGGTTGCCCCTCTAAAAAGGCACCAAAAGTTTCTATACATCTGCACAGCATGTTGGCATCATCGTTGAACTTGGTACATGCCGAGAACATGACCTTGTAGCCATCTTTGCTGGCGGCAAGGCTGCGGTGGGAGAAGCTGACTTTGCACTGTTCTTGGAATGTCTGTAGAGCGGAGGTTAGTTTTTCTGGATCAGGACTGTCGGAGGTAAGTAAGGTGGACAGATCAGACAGTGCCTGTAACACAGCGTGCTCTGGTCCTCCTGATGGTGACGACCCCTGACAGATGAAAAAGGATGTAGTCAGCCATGGGGAAGCATGACTCAGGGCTCAAAATACTTAACTTCTGTCACCTGTGATATGTGATTTATAATAACAAGCCTGTATTCTTCAGTAATTCCACAATTTTTATGAAAATTGCAGTCTATTTTGAGCAATGACATTTGTTTTGCTGTACTTCATACTTTTCTCTTTGATGTGTCTTGAGGAGCTTGGTGAAAATTAACATGAGAAAGATTAGATTTAAGTCAAATCACGCCTGGCTTGCTGTGATGACAAGCACCTACTAGTAATGCTGAAAAAATCTAGAAAGGTAACACATGGGTCTAGACTAATAAACTAACTGCCCTGTTTATTGCTACTCAAACACATTCATATATAATATATGGGTGGGCAGCCCCTCCAGCTCTGTCCTGCTACGAAATCTAACCCAACACCACAGGGTGTTGCTACAGCACCAATTACTATGGTGACAGATGTCCTGTCCAGGCCATTAACTTTATTTGTTTGCAGAAGAAGAAGAGGAAGAAAAGGAGGAAGAAGAAACAGAGCAAACACAATAATGTTTTCCTTCTGCATTCTGGATGAATAGGACAGAAACTGCAGTGACAAAGTGACAAAACTGCAGCCACTTTCATTTTATGTTTGTCACACATTTTGTATCTGTTATTTCAACTCTATTTTGTATGTTCAAGGAGGTTCAACCTCCTTGGCATGTTTTAATGTTCCTGAACAAAAGATCTTACAAGCACATTTGTGCTTGCTATCTAATGCTCATAGATCCATGTGAATAAAATAGAATAACTGCAATCCTTACCAGATTGAGAGTTTTAACGATGTTGCTGAGGTCGACACCCTGTGACTCAAACTGCTGCACAGCCTCCTGGACTGCCTCCTCCCCCTCCATCTCAAACTCCTCCATGTTCTCCTTCACTACTGCATCAAACGTCTCCTGGCTGATCTGTTTAGCCATCTTGTCTGTAGAAAATGAGAAGGAAGGGTACACTGAAACCTGTCATCATCAAATATTTTTGGGCATTACATCACTTCCACGTTGACAGAGAGTATGAGATCATATAGTGCATCATTATCATAATACAATTAACATGTAAGGCATGACTAATGTTGATAATATACGAAAACATCACGGAGGCCAGACTAAAACATAGCAGAGTTTTGTTGCTAGTGTAAATTTTCAACTGATACTGGGGATATATCTGTAACGTTACATGTGTAACCTTCAGGCAAGCCTTCCAACCTCACAGCCTTCTAGATCTTTCCAATTTTCCACACCAATAACGTTAATTACTGTTAACGCCCTCCACCCCCCCAAATCCGATGACAGTCAGGATCCTGACTAATCTAACGTACCTATAAAATGTAGTCTCTATACTTCTCCGAACCCCCTCTCCCCTCCCAAACCCCCCTCCCCAATTTATTATCATAATAGTGTGACAAGAAATGCACTATATATCGATGATTGTAGCAACATCAAATGCTTTCACAAAAGTGGAAAGTGGGTGACGTTAACGTTAGCCAAGTTATGGACAAGAAACGTTAGAAGTTACCTTTGTGGTTTTGTTGGCTGGGCAACTGAAATTCGGATCACCGCGCCACCAAAAGACCGGTACAGCAGGCAAACGGAAGTGAAAGTTCAACATACGATCAGCTGTTTCCGGGTCGTTGACCCGTGTTGGCGCGCCACGTACGCTTCTGTGTCATGTGCCAGTCAGCTGTTGTGTGTACACCTGCCGTACTTTGCCTTATAAGGGGGCGTGTACACGTAGCTACAATCCAATTTCAGGTGCTAGATTAACAGGTGGTCTCTCCGCGCCAGTGTAGCTGCAGCTACAGAAAGAATGGCCGAACCAGGTGCCCCAGCAGTTAAACCTGTACCCAGCCACCTAACGGACAGGTAAACATAATTTTGAGCTAAACGTTTAAATACGAAGGGAGGGGGCTGGGGATACAAACATACAAATTGAAGGATTTGGCTTGCATGTTAATTGTTAAGTCTATAGTTTTGAGAGAACTTTGAGAGCAATATTTTGATTTTTTTATTTTATTAGGTGAACTTAAGCATCAGTAAGTAGGTTAAAGATATTTCTTGCATGTTTATACATGTGTAACAAGATGTTAGAGGATTAATGTTCAGTGCTCACAGACCTCAAGTTGACCCAATTAGTTGAAAGCAAAGTACAATGACTAAATAAATATTATAAGGTAATGTAACCATTCGCTGTTAGTGAGTATAATCATAAATTTAAAACATTTCAGGCAGATCAATAAAAGTCCAATCACTACCAAATCCAGAACGGGTGAATAAGCACTGGCCACGGGTTTTTTTGCGCGAATCTGCGTACTTTTGGGTGATTTCCATTGTTCTCAATAAAAATCACCCATTTGTTGTTTTCCTTGCAATGGGTGAAATTTTGTGCATTATAACCAGATTATGCAAGGAATGGGTGAATTTTCCAGTGTTTACTTTGCACCCGATTACAATTGAAAATTCACCCAGATTCACCCATTTGATTGGACACCTCTGGTAATAGGTGTCATAAACTGCACAGGCACATACCTCATAATGTCGCAGTGCTGACTGGCAGTCTTTGAGTGGGTACTGGATTTTGAAGATTTGTTATCTAGTCGGTTGAAAATCCCCACAACTCCAAAGTACATGTAAACACATGTTAACAGCAAAGTGGAAGAACCTCCATGGTTGAAATGAAAGTAATTTGTATAATGGCAAGAATGTCCAAAAATTTACAAGCTTTATTACCACCCTGTGTTGCCTTGAATTCTGTGTTCTTTGCATAGATTGATCAACACATAGGATGTTCAACCCTATGATTATAGTATGAACCAAACACTGACCCGGGGCGATATCCCTTCGATACATTTTTCAGTCAAGTGGAGTTTACAATCTTATGATGGAGCCCGATTCATTGCCAATGTCTTGAAATTCAATTTGTGGCGTATACCACATAAGAATTGCAACATGAGTTAGGTTACTCCCAAATCATGTGTTAAAAATTGCCAAAAATTGCACTCTGTATTATAAATTGCCAAATAATATGATTTTCACTTTGAAAATCCTCATCAAAACGTTCACCACTTTTGGAGAAGCTGTAATTTATTCATATTGTCATGCAGGTCAAGGTGCGAAAGGCTATTGTTCCTGTATGCAAATTCAACATCCCAATGACAACATATATGAAAGGCTATTGTTCCTGTATGCAAATTCAACATTCCAATGACAACATTATGAATGGTCCTGTAGCAGCATTTCATTATGTACCCCCAAAGTCAAACACAATTGTCAACAGTGAAAGACTTGCAAACTTATCTTACAATTTCAAAACCGCGATTGAAATGAAATCAATTTATATGAATGTCGGAAGACTCAAGACCATTACCAACTCGGCCCAGTCAACTTGGCCCCAAGTCAACTTTTTGAAGTGGTTTCCACCAAACCTTCTTGTTCCCGTGTATTGCTGCAGCCAGACAAATATTCCTCATACTAGTAACAGCCATGGGATTGGCACATGTCCGGAAAGGTAGGTAACTACGTAGTGAACAACGAGTGCCACCACACTGCCACTAACGGTCAGCTCAATATTCAACCCATGAAAAACAGCGTACTTAGCACTAGTTAAATTGCTGTTTGTTTTACAATGGGTGAAACCTTGAATTCACCCGGAATTCACCGTTTTGTCATATAGGTGCAATTTTCATTTTCACCCAGTATATTTACATGGAAACAACAGCAAATGGCACCTTGGAAATTCACCCAGATTCCCAGAAAAGTACGCAGATTTACGCAAAAAAACCCATGGCCAGTGCTTTTTCACCCATTCTGGATTTGGTAGTGAATGTCCTGTTGGTAAACCCTCAGCCACATCTTGTGATTGTGGTGTTGAATTTCAAAGTCCACAAATGGAAAGATCAATTCTGATTTAGAAAAAATGATTATTATCTCTTGTGTTGTCCTTGTAATAGATATAATAAGCAATTTAACACACCACAAAACAAACAAAAACAATGTTTACAGTCATCAAAACACCAAATACTAGTATTCACAGTGCAGCATTTTTCATTAACTGACCACAAGGTAATATATGCAGGGACATGAATTCAATTCATTTAGATCTGATTTAACCAATAGCTAAGTTTGAAACAATTTCAACCTTTTATTTTCAGGTTTACTAGATTGAGGGAATCTTTTAAACAGAAATATGGAACGGATCCAGAGTTCTTTGCAAGAGCACCAGGGCGGGTCAACCTGATTGGTAGGTTGATTGTACTTACCTCCAAGCAGATGTTAGATTGGAGAACAAAACATTTGCTGATTGTGCTATGCTGATTGCAAGTAGCTGCCTGTCAGAAGAATTTGACAGTCAGAAAATGTTACCATCTTCCTCCCCAACACCTGCTTATTATGGTTATTATTAATAACAAACAAAAACCACTGTATTAACACATAGTCCGTGGATGAAAAGATTTACTACACATGACATGTGTTGATTATTTCCTACAGGTGAACACATAGACTACTGTGGGTATGCTGTACTTCCCATGGCCATAGAGCAGGACATTGTCATCGCAGCAGCCACCACAGATGACCAGAAACTTACTTTAGCCAATGTGGATCCCAGTTTTAGGTAACGTTACATGCTATATAACGTTACACTTCAAACAAGGGCAATAGGCATGTTCTTTTATAATAGTCGTAATAAGCACAATACTGTGACATACATGTAGGTACAACTGAAATAATTATGTTGGGTAATCTCTGGTCTAAAGTTGCCTTCTTGTTTCCATAGTGATTTTACCAGCACTGTGGATGGCTTCACCATTGACAAGTCCCAGCCGCGCTGGTTTCACTACTTCCTGTGTGGCTTCAAAGGTGTGGTTGAGCACTGCAAGATCGACAAGCCATCAGGTCAGCATCCATCATTCTGTCCATTGACAGAATTCTGTTGGCATTTTAATTTTACAACAAGAATTGTCTATAAGAGTACAAATACAAATACAGTGCTATAAATCATGATGTTTTTGCGGTCACTTCTGTACCGTGAACTAATATCATTACTGTGAACAAATAACTTGCTGACTTTCTTTTTGCTGCACCTGCCGCCACCACAAGCGTATAGTTCTGCAAACATGTACATTTTTCTCAACAAAGTTTTGCTACTGTTATCATACTGATTTACAGTATTTAGTTCAAGTCTTTTTGCTTATTTGACAGGTCTGAATGTCCTGTTGGAGGGAACTGTACCCAAGAGTTCAGGCCTGTCCAGCTCCAGTGCTCTGGTGTGCTGTTCTGGGATGACCACTGCAAGAGCCAACAACTGCAGCCTTTCCAAGGTTTGGTGCCATTGAAATGATTTTTATATCATATTGATTTTTATAACATATTATTTTTGGAGAAGTTTATTGTTGATACTTGTTAGACAGATCCATACAAAATCTGACCATTTCCAAAACCACATCCAGTGGCTTGAGTAACTGTTTTTTGGCATATCTTATTACCTGGATGTCTAACCTTCACTGACATGATTCATACATTTTTAACTGAAGAACAGAACAACATACATGTATGCCTCCAGCTTATTACATATTATAGGATGACTTTGATATCAGCAATTCTTCTCAAAAAGTCTATTTTTTGTCACAGAAAGAGCTTGCTGAGGTTTGTACCTGGTGTGAACGTTACATCGGTACAGAGGGGGGAGGAATGGACCAGTCCATCTCCTTCTTGGCTGAAGCTGGAACTGTAAGTTCCTACTCAAGTTTATCTTTATCCTGAATTTTTATTTCATTGTCTTCCACTCCAGTGACCATGTCTAACCTAAGGCAGAAATCAAAGAACAGCAGATGTCCCTAATAGTGTTTATAAGTGCTTTTTTTTACTTATTTGATGCTAAGAGGTGCTTAATTTTCACAATGCAAAATCTGTATCTAAACAATTTCTAGTACCTTTAATTTGTAGGGCAAGGTAAATGATACACTTCTTGAGGCCAGAATTTCCAAATTCTTCTGATGATATTATACACAAGAATCATGGATGTCTCATCTCATCAAGTGCACCAGCAACAAATTTAACCAGTAGTTTTTATGCTTATATGATCAGAGAACATGACTGTTATTTTGATCAGATTTTCAATCAGATTGTAATCAAATATTACTGATACCAACTCATCAGACATACATGTTGATTGAAGGCCAAGCTCATAGAGTTCAACCCACTGAAGGCCACAGACGTGTCCCTGCCTGACGGAGTTGTGTTTGTCATCTCTAACTCCTGCGTGGAGGCCAACAAGGCAGCCTTCGCTCACTATAATGTCAGAGTGGTGGAGTGTCGACTGGCAGCCCAGGTAGGAAGCCATATTGATGTGTACATCACTGGATAACTGGCCTTTAAGCATGTGTTACTAGTCTAAGAGTAATGAGCACTGCATGTTGCATTCAGAAAGAGTTGCAGTTACAGAGCCTGTCATATTCCTAGTACAACAACAGGCTTACATCTTACTGCACATGAGGGCATTCTTGGTATGGTTGTGGAGGTGTTGTACAACATTCTTGAGACAGAAAAGGCTTCTGTATATCCTTCTCAATGGTCATGTCTGTAATAACCTTGCTAAAAACCCTACAACAAAAGCATTGTAACTCAAGGCATCCATGCCTTAACTAGAATAGCTCATTTGCCGCACTACAAACTTTGAAAAACAATCTATAGATAGCTTACACAGTAGTAATTGTGACACATCTGTCTGTGCTTTCTTTGAACTGCAGCTCATAGCAAAGTCTAAAGGCCTTGACTGGAGGAAGCTGAGGAAGCTGGGGGATCTTCAGTCTGCGCTGGGCGTGTCCCTGGAGGAGATGGGTGTGATCGTGGACCAACTGCTACACAAGGACCCTTACAGCAGGGAGGAGGTAGGTGGGAGGGAAACTTCTGTGATAGCAAGGATGGTAAATTTTACACTATCTTTAGTTTGAGGAAAAGGGCAATTCCTTGTTACTGGAAATAATATCTTGACAGCATTACTACTTATGAAAGATGCCTTACAGTGTTGAAGATTGTAGAGTAAAACAATTATATTGAGATCTGTTCTGTACGTTTGACTCTGCGTGCCATGTGATTTGTTAGGTGTGCAAGGAACTGGGAGTGACCTCAGAAGAACTGCAAGATACGAGCCTCAGCCAGAACACCAAGGATTGTAAGTCCCTTCTGCAGACATGCTGCAGTGATTCTGTACGATGGGCTGTGTTGTGGGTTGTTGTATTTTTCACTGACATTTTAGGCTAATGTTCTTCATTGACCTGTTTTCTGCTTTTAACATCTGAAAAATCCCAAAACATAGACTGTCTGTTTGTTTGTTTGTTTGTTTAATCTATAGTGGGTCTAATATTGCAGAATGTTCTGATATAGCTGCAGTGATCAAGCTGCAGTTTTGGAAGAAACTGCTAGAGGTCTCTGATCTATTGCTGAATGAATTGATTCACTGAAAGATCAAAGAATAACATTTCCATAGAACAACCACACAATAAAAATAGCTCAGAATGTAGTGCAAGAAATATGAAAAGCCTGAAATAATGATTCATTGTATCCTGGATTTTACCTCCAGTGACCACATTCCAGCTCCATGACCGGGCTGCTCATGTGTACAGTGAAGCTGACAGGGTTTTCAAGTTCAAGGCCGTGTGTGACGAGAAGCCGGCTGACGCACTTGTACAGCTGGGGCAGCTGATGAATGCCAGCCATGCCAGCTGCCGAGACCTGTACAACTGCAGCTGTGCTGAGCTGGACCAGCTGACACAGCTCTGCATGTAAGGTCCTCTCCTTGATGCTGAATGTGTAGTCTGTAAAAGCTGTAAAGAATGGTTCTCTCCTTGGTGCTGAATGTGTAGTCTGTAGAACACTAAAGAATGGTCCTCTCCTTGGTGCTGAATGTGTAGTCTGTAGAACACATAGAATCCATTTATCTGTTTGAGCCATGTTGGGCCTCTAACAAAATCACATTTGCAGTTTCAAACCGGCTTCTAATGGCCCAAACCTATATCATTTTCCCAAACCCAAAACCTATCTACTGCCAAAAAAATATGACCACAACATGTTTTCAACACAAGATACAAGGAGAGGACCATTCTCTTCAATACCAACAAAAGCTGCCAGGGCACATAATTTAGTCCAGTATGTACTGTAATTGGAATTTGTTTCTCCTTTAGTGATGCAGGAGCGCTGGGTTCACGACTGACTGGTGCAGGGTTTGGCGGCTGTGCCGTGTCTCTGGTACCAGCCGCCAAGTTGCAGGACTTCCTCAAGGCAGTCCAGTCTGGGTTCTACGACAACAGTCCCACCAGGAGCACGAGGGTGGCTGAAAGTCTCTTTGCAACCCAGCCCGGTGATGGGGCAACTTTCTTCACATTGTAAAAATTAGCAGCATTAATTGTTAGTAGCCACATGCTAAATACAAAATCAGATCTGCAGAAGATCCTTGAAATACTTACTACTGGTAGTAGGGTATTTTCTAGACAACTTTATATTTTATAGCAACTTTAATGAGGAAAAATATTTTCAAAAGTGCCTTGTGAAATATAGTTTGCAGACATGGTAAAAATTTCATATAAAAAGACTGGACCAAGCTTTTCTTCACTCATTTTTTCAGACTTGCAGTAATGAATATTGTGAATATTGTGATAGGTAAATTCTGGAAATTAATGAATAAGATACCATTGTACTAATGTACAAAACTGAATACCATTTTCTACACTCTTGATGAGACATAAAGACACTGCTTGTTCTTTTATTACAGGTGTTGTCAAACACTTTAAAAATTGATTTTAAGTTTATGCCATCATAACTCAGTGGATGAGTAAGATACTAGTAGTTAGTTGCCATACACCAATGACTGGTATTCTTTTGTTACTACTAAGTTGTCAGATATGAACATTCCTGATATTCTCCTTCAAGCTGGTGCACTGGTCAAATTTATAAAATCAAGTAGAGGTAGTTCTAAAACCTTAATTTTTGAGGTACAAATGTTATAAAAAATGTAAAGACATTAGTATCATTACAGATTCAAAGCAACAATTACATCAAACATTAAATACTGTTGTAAGTTACATTTCCACATGTTTTGGGAGGGGTTAACCTCCTGCTGATAACTACATAAATATTAATCTATGAAATAATGTAGCTACATTGTATTATGACTTGGTAAATATAATTTTATCATATTAAATAGGTAGAACAATTACTGGATCTTTGGTTGAAATACTTCCTAGCATTAAGTACTGGAATGTGAAAAAGAAGAAGCAAACAATTGTACTGAAGATCTTCTTGCTAGACTTGTCTGTACGAGGCATTTATCATAGAAAGGGGAGAAAAGTAGCAAGCGGCAATGATAAATCTACAGTTATCAGGGGGCATGCTTTTCAGGGAGTTTTGATTTATCCTCTAAAATCTATTTTGAGGAGCAAATTTCAATGAAAAAGATTCATGGAAATAGTCACTATACACATTGTCCTAATTCAAAATTTCACATTTCTCCAACATTTTGTGCTAAAAATGTGGCAAAGCTGTCTGGCAAAATTATATTGGATACCACAAAAAAGGGCGATGTCCAAACATGCCAGAACACCCTTCTACTGGAAATATTGAATCTACATCATGGTTTAAGAAGAAGTCTGTAGTTATTTGTTGATGCCGGCTAAGATGGCATGTCGGATGACTGGTGTGCAGTTATTTGTTGATGCCGGCTAAGATGGCATGTCGGATGACTGGTGTGCAGTTATTTGTTGATGCCGGCTAAGATGGCATGTCGGATGACTGGTGTGACCATCAGCTGCTGACGGGCCTGCCTGGGACTCAGCTGTAGAGCTGCACACAGGAGGGCAACAGGGACAACCTGGACAACCACACACGTACAGGGAGACGTGAGGACAGGAGAGAAGAAGATTCAGCCCAGGATTTTCACCAGTGTCGACCAAAGACATAATCTTTTTTGTTAATGACTGACAAATGATTTTACAGACAAATTAAGGATTATGAAGTAGATTAAAATCAAGTAGGTGAAGTTTTCTAGTAGGATGGAAAAAATGAAGGGCTTTTACGAGTTCAGGTAGGTTACTGCAGCGTAAATGAATAGCCTACATTTTTACCTTTAATGTTTAACTACATTCTAGATCAACAGCAAACTTCATGTGTAATGAAGAATTTTTGATTGGCCTATGGCTATGCTGAGGGAGTGAAAATGAATCTACATTTTTTTGAAATTTTTTTCACATCTTTGAACATCATACAATCTTACCTTTCCCTGTTTCGTTCCTCTTTCCACATGCTGAGACACGTTGATGTCTGCCAGTGATGTGACGTCATCTGTATCATACAATGCTGACAGGACGGCCCTGGTAGCAGTGTCCTGGCTGCAGTCACTTAAATGCTGATAGACAAAAGTGAAGCATCATAAGCAAAGTATATAACATTCTCATGGACCCATTATAGCTTTCTTAGAAGCTTAGACACAATGGATGGATCTGCAACAGACTGCTGAAAGTACATGTACTTGCCTGGACAATTCTGATGGCACGGTAGAACAGTTTGTTGTTCCTGTAAAAGAAAGTCAGAAACAAATGTGATAGGTATTGTATAAAAATCTCCATATGGCTGGCAGTCACACAGCTAGAGACTCTGAGAAAAAGATAACTTGATACAACTTGTCCAGTTCCTTAAGATCTGTGCTAAAACATTCTTGGAATAGTAGTCACACTTAGAAGAACTTTTGTAAACAGTAGCCATACTTTGAAGAACAAAAAATCCAACTAAACAATCATTAGATAATTTTCAAAGACTTACCTGATTTGAACATCGACCATGAAGTTCTGGAAGACTTTTCCCACCATGATGTGAGCTCCAGTGGAGACAGAGTTACAGACCAGCTTCAGGGCAAACTCACCCAGTCGCCTACAATGGAAGGCAATGTCACAGTGGTCAGAAAACACTTTGGAAAATAACTTACAAACCTTCAGCATGTTAAGGTGACAGTTTGGCAACAAACTTATATTGGTTATGGGGTTAGGCAGCTGGGAGAAGGTTAAGCTACAATGACAGAACTGAATGTTGACGGGGTCTGCTACATATACATAAAACGTTTTCTGGATATGTCCACAACTATCCAAACAACGTCCTCAACTAGATGACGTGAACCTGTCCATACAAAAGACATATCCACAATTATCATCAGAATGTCTTCAATTTGCTATCCATACAAATATGACACGGCCCTTACCTGCAGGCAGCTGCCCGTAAAGCTGTGGACCCTCCTGTAGCTGGGACTGGTGGCATCTGGAGAAGGACTGACTGAGGAAAGACTGTGCTGAAGGACACCATCACCTGCAAATAGATGGTAAGTAAACACAACTTTACATTTATTGATATTTGAATGCAACCTTAAAAAGCCAGCACTACAACTTAAAATATTGTTGATGCCTATATCATGAAGTCCACATTACAAAGAAAAACTTGAAGACAATCTTTTCTAGTCCTTCTAGGTACTTTGAGAAATGCAGATGAAGTTAAAGCTAAAAAGACAGACCTTGGCATCCGTTGGTTGAAAATTATACAAAACTGCCATGACATGAACACCAGTCTTTTTCAGCTGCTCTGCCAGCTCAGTGCAGTCTCCAAGCTCGTCTGTTGACAAATATTTGACACAAGGATGGTTAACTTACTAGTAGGGACCAGTATCATTTATGGGGCATTATGGTATTTGCAGTACTTTAATATGAAACATTACAGCTAGAGTAAATGCCCCACCAAAAATGCAACAGACATATTAAATTTATCAAAATGTCATGAAATAATAAATACTGATTATCTGATCTAAATCTGGCAGGAGCACAACCCCAAAACTTTTACAACACTTTTAATGAAGGTCTATCCATGTGTCAAAATTATAAATTACGGAATCCATTAAAAAATCCATTTCTTATGAACCAAAGAAAGAAACAAGCAAATATACAAAGACACAATGAATAAATAGCACACAAAAAGACCTTACTGACCAGGGGAGGACAGAAGAAAGATGGCAGAATCAGATGAATTAAAGCGGCCCAGGATGTCGTCACAGAAGTTCTTCCATGAGAGCCTGTACAGTGGACCCAGGTTGTCCAGGCAACCAGCTGCATTGTTGAGTGTGTCATAGCCACCACGTACAAATCCTCGCACATCTGTGGGATCTGAGAGTTGGAGTCAAATAGTGAAATCAATGTGAATTGGATTGGCCACACCAATTGAATCTCTTGGTGCATAAGTGGTTCTATTATGATAAGACTACATTCAGAACCAAGGAGAGGACCATTCTTTACAGTGTTCTACAGACCACACATTCAGCACCAAGGAGAGGACCATTCTTTACAGTGTTCTACAGATCACACATTTAGTACCAAGGAGAGGACCATTCTTTACAGTGTTCTACAGACCACACATTCAGCACCAAGGAGAGGACCATTCTTTACAGTGTTCTACAGATCACACATTTAGTACCAAGGAGAGGACCATTCTTTAGTGTTCTACAGACCACACATTCAGCACCAAGGAGAGGACCATTCTTAAGTGTTCTACAGACTACATATTCAGCACCAAGGAGAGGACCATTCTTTAGTGTTCTACAGACTACATATTCGGCACCAAGGAGAGGACCATTCTTTAGTGTTCTACAGACTACACATTCAGCACCAAGGAGAGGACCATTCTTTACAGTGTTCACAGACCACACATTCAGCACCAAGGAGAGGACCATTATTTAGTGTTCTACAGACCACACATTCAGCACCAAGGAGAGGACCATTCTTTAGTGTTCTACAGACTACATATTCAGCACCAAGGAGAGGACCATTCTTTAGTGTTCTACAGACTACACATTCAGCACCAAGGAGAGGACCATTCTTTACAGTGTTCTACAGACCACACATTCAGCAGCAAGGAGAGAACCATTATTTAGTGTTCTACAGACTACACATTCAGCACCAAGGAGAGAACCATTCTTTACAGTGTTCTACAGACTACACATGTAGGTGTACCTACATAAGTGGTTCTGTTATGATAAATAGTCATGTCTTGTTACCTGATCCGTATGTCGGGACACACTCTGATGCATCGATACATCCCATAATGCCTGCTGTCCCAAGACCAAAGTAGTAAATGTGCCCACTTGCTTGCAAGCTATGTTATAAAGAAACCAAATTGTGCTGAAAATCACAATTTCTAATGTAAATTAGAGTGGAAACACTAGACAAAAAATAATAACCAAACACTGGATTAAAGTGAATTGCAAAGAATTTCACTGTTTCATTGTACTTACATGTAGTCTGACATTTCTTCACTATCGCTTCACTGTGTTTCTTCTTGTATCATTTTGCAAAATATGTTCTATATTGTGAAAGACACTGGAGAAACCTAATGGAGCAACATGGAGGAACCTAATGGAGGGGAGCAAGAGGCCAGCTACAGGCCTGGGCACATCTATTAGGCAGTAGACAGTTTGTGGTTAAGATGAAGAACCCTTACCTTTTACCTGCATTACTGACAAGACAGGATATGTCATCTGCTTTAGAGTACACACTCTCTACACACTGGCTGTAAGCTCCCAGGAATGTCCTGCAAGGAAAATATATTTCTCCTCTTAGTACACAACACAGATGGCTACACAAGAGCTGAAGCTGCATTATCATTGGGAACACAAACTCGTCAAACAGGCTAACCAAAAACAAAGCCTAAATGCAGGTGTGGATGATACCTGACAGTATGTTCATTGATGGCACATTGGTCTACAGTCTTTTGGGCTGCCAGTAGCAGTATGGTATCCAGAAGGATCTTTGTAGCACTGCCGCCCTTCATGCGAGTGGAACCAGTGATTGGTTCAGGCTGAAACAGTGGAAGTACAAATAAGCTACAAAAAATGTCCAGACTATGCATGATGTACAAAATGACTAATAAACTGGTAGACGTACCAACCACTACGTATCTGATACCAGCCCAGAAACAAGAAACAGTCATGCCTTCAAATATCAGAGATATCAACCAAGAATTGAGGTGTTCAAAAGCTCGTATTTCCCGAGAACTATAGTAGAGTTGCTACTTATAACAATCACTCACCCCAACAACTGGGTTGAGAATGAAGGCCTTGTTGTCTTTTGTTGCTTGCTCCATCTCCACCACAACTGAAAACAGTCCAGGATTCTCTTAGGATAATTCTGACTTCACAAACCAAACATAATGCTGCTTATCTATTCTAAGAGAAGTTACTACTGTAGTAAAATCATTTGACATCCAATACACATTGAAATAACATAAACAAAAATTGTCTTTAAGTTTACCTACCCCAAGTCAAGTATGAGATATACTCAGATACAATAACAGATACATACCATCCTTAACAGTCTTGTCCCATTTCTCTATGCCATGATCCCTTCAAGTAAAGAGAATGACATGGTTATCACATTGTAGAATAAGTAGTAACATCCAAATTTACTTCAAAGCCAAAAGTATCCTCTGGTGAGATTCAAATAAGTCTGTGATTTTTGTTTATTTCATTATAGAATCTTTTTTAGATTGCAAAGTCAGTATTTGCCTATTCCTCACCTGGCCAGCTGTACTGGGTTAAAGCCCATGAGCAGAGGAGTGAATGTTTCCAGGTGCTGCAGGCAGTAGTCCAGCTGTCCTGCCACATACGGAGCCTGACAGGTGCACCAAGGAGAGGACCATTCTTTACAGTGTTTTACAGACTACACATTCAGCACCAAGGAGAGGACCATCCTTTACAGTGTTCTACAGACTACACATTCAGCACCAAGGAGAGGACCATTCTTTAGTGTTTTACAGACTACACATTCAGCACCAATGAGAGGACCATCCTTTACAGTGTTTTACAGACTACACATTCAGCACCAATGAGAGGACCATCCAATGGCCCAGCACCAAGGACAGGGCCATTCTTTATAGTCTTTTATAAATGTTAAATTTTTTACCGAAAGTCCACAGGTGATCCCGATATAAAATACTTTCTTCTTCCCAGTGACAGCCTGAGAAATAGATAAGCAAAGTTTCAATGAAAAAGACAATTATTATGCACAATCTTACAACACATTCTTTTTGCAAACTACGTAATACAAGCATATTCATACGAGACTCTAAGACTTCAAGCAGAAGTGACATCTATCCTGCACTACCTGCTGCAGTTCACTGGCTCCCAGCAAGGGGTCATCTTCTGGTGCCTCCTGAGATGTCAGCAGAGCTCTGAAGAAAACAAAGGGACCTTGTGACTGTATCAACAAACTAGTGACAGCTATCTTGGCATTCTTGGTACAAAGTCTGTAATACATGTATATCTGTAGCTGAAATTCTAACTTTTGTATAAAATTTTGTACAAACCTGTCTCCACCAGCGATGAGGTATACACAGCAAGCTTTTCTCCCACTCTGTATCAGCAACCTGTTGCATGTTGTCTGCACACATGTGACAATAAAGGTTATTGGAATAAAGCAGTAAGATGTAGTGTCACTAGTCACCAGTAGGATGCTTGATCTAGGGGCAAGTATCTCTGCTTCTGGACCTGGAGGTCAAGAGCTTGAATCCATGTGATAGATGCATTACGTTTCATGTTAAGAGCTGCATGACTTATATTTCTAATTCCTGGCAAAATAAATTTTCTGCATACAAAAAGGTGTTTAACTTAGCAAACTCACTGCAGCAAGGAATGCCATCCGTCCCGATGTCCCACACCCTGACATCACAACCAAATGGTCCTCTGGCTCCTGGAGGTACAAATAATGTTTGTAAAAATGAGGTTCTGTTGCAGTACCAGTGACAGATGCTAGAGAGCACTTTAAACCTACCTGTAATACTTTCTTTCAATAGATCACATATTGAATGTCATAACATGTACATTCCATCCAAGGCTTCTTAAGTTTTCTATCCAACCCTTAATTATATAAATTCACATACCCATATGCATGGGCCTACAAATCTTGAACTGAATTTCTATAATGGCAAGACAAAATTGTGTATTTACCTGCATGATGGCAGCAATGTGATCTACAGCACCCAAGATAGTTCTCACTGTAGAGTCATCCTGCAGACCCTGTGTGCATAAAATAAAACTGTCACTAGCCCATAAACAGTCACCTATAAGGCATCAGCCCACGGGACCTCTTACTTGCAAGTATATGGCACTTTCATCACTAAGGTTGAAAAGATGCAAGAAGGTAGGACATATTACCAACTGTCTTATCAATCTTACCGGGAACTGAAATGATCCTGCTAACATCTCTTCATCACAGCTGTGGAGTATATCCACAATACCTGCAAAGAGCATAAAAATACTTAGTAATATCATACACACTATCAGTACAACCTCATATGATTTACAAGAGTCCACTTGACAAAATGGACAGAACTTTGTCCCTGCAAAGACAAAGATGGGATAGTATATAAAATTGTATCAATCATCTTCCAGTTAAATCCAGTATACATGTATAAACATCTCTACCATAATACCTATTCAGCAACCTGCATCAGGGACAGCCTATGCTCTCACTCCCCTATCTTCCATCACCCCTTATAATGTTCCAACACCCCTGCATTGAACTAACATGGGATTCGTCAGAATATAGGGGACTGCCAGAACAATAAATCAACATCGATAATCATTCGGATGAGAAACTGTCTGACTTATAACTGACCTTTGCAGTCGGCCACGTCAATGTTCTGAGTGAGTGGGTTGGACCTTTCAGTGAAGGGTAGAGTTGAAGTGGCTGCAGCCATCATGGCCCCAGTATCCTGAGACCAGCACCAGAGTCGTCACAAAATGGGGTTTGAATGATGCTGAGGGCTAGATATAAGGAAAGAAAAGGGTTATATATTACAGGCGATACATTAAAAAAACAACAACTAGTAACCATGATGAATTCCGAGTATAGGGGACTATTGCCGACTTGTTCTGACAGCCAAATTTTGTTCCTGACATTATATTCAATCAATCAATCAATTAGTCCCCTCCGAGCCTCGTGGCACTTTGTGCTCCAAGTAGCTTTTCCACCTGGGTCTGACAGTGGCCACCCCTGGCGCTTCTTCGAGTGAGAATCAAATGTATAACATGCATAATGATTTAGTATTGTCACAGTGTTCTCCTTTGTGTCCTTGCTTCTTCATAGCATTTCTGATGAAAGTAACTTTACATGTAACAGTTGATTCAATAGGGAAAGCAAAATTTACCTTCTGACACTGGGGTTAGCAGTGGGTAAACTGAAGGAATGTCTGTTCAACTGGCAAAAGACAACCTTTAACCCTGTCAGTAAATAATTTATAGGGGTGAGAAGTTTATAGTCCAAAGTCCAACAGCTGACTTGGCTGAGGTCATCCATGGGGTAATGCTGCATATGTTGATGTTTTACATGTTCCTTTGTTATCATGATTCTAGCTTGACACTGTGAGATCCAAGACAATGAAAACACATTGCCATATATCGTCATTCAGGCAAGGAGTCCCCCCCCCCACTACTTAAGGCATTAAGGACCTTACGGGGGGGGGGGATATCATTCCTCAGAAGGCTCCTGGAGTCAGGTTTTGGAGATTTAATCATAAGTGTTTCAATTTGGAAGGACAGTCGGGCATCACACATGCATCATGCATCACCTATTAAATTGTTGTTGTTGTTGTTGTTGTCCTTGTTTAACGTCTATTATGTCGCTAGACGTGGTCTCTAGGTGCTCAGTTTTTCACTTGGTTCAGTTCAGAGTCAAAGATCTCTCTAGGTATTAACACTTGGTGACATTAAATGTCAAGCCACACCCATAATGATGCACGGAAGTAGAACTCACCAACATAACAGTAGACTCTCTGAGGTTTTACTTTCCAGGGAAATTCCATAACATAGCTTGCACTTTTTAAAACCTCTGAAAAAGTAACCCGTACATCGACAGGCAGTTTAACGTTTGCCCTGTTGCAGTACATTAGAACATTATGATCACGGGCTACACTTTCATCATAAATCGTAAGGGATACCGAAATATATATTTAAGCATTTAAGGCTGGCCGTCAAATATCCGGAAGTCTGATTGCAGCTGCTTGTCTTTTGTATCAACTTCGCAAGGTGGCGCTGCAGCATGTACACAACAACACATGGAGCCGCAGTGCTCGCGCCACTGGCGGATGCTTCTCTGACCTGTACGTGACCTGGCAATACAAGAGCATTTATTAACAATTTAGAACGCTTTTATAAATATACAAACTCCAGTATGAATTGGAGTATTTATTTCTGAAGAAATGAATCGAATGCGGACTATTTACTGCTGAATAAAACACCGAACTACATTTTACGTGGATGTAGATGGGGGAAAGTTGTGCGTAAAAAGCAGCGTAGGTGGCAGATTTAAAGCTGCAGGGATCGAGTCGCCCGTACCGAATTTCCTCGCTTTTAACAGCAAAAACTGCGTTGGTGGAAGATAATACTGAGAATGTCAGCGTGGGAACCACAGCCAGGGGACCGAGTGTTCGCCAAAGTTCGCGGTTATCCAGCTTGGCCGGGCAGGGTGAGTTTTATCTGAGGTGCACGCCCTCGCAACAAGTTGAGCTGAGAACGAATTTTGATCAATGAAATTATAACATACAAGTCTGACAAATCGACAGACGATGACTTGGTTGTTTAGCCTTTCTGTATGTTGGATTGTATCTTTCTTCAAATAGGTCTTCTTGTGAACAGTGGTCCCTACAAATTTACAGTATTTAATAGCACGTCGGTAGTTTTGTGAGTGGGTTTATGGAAAACCTGGTGTAGATAATTGGGCCACTCATGGTTACCAGGTCTGGACCCGTAGGCCATGCAGATCTAAGTACAACAGCAACTTGTTAATGTGCCACATGCTTGTTTTTAAACAAATTGATACAGTTTCAAGCTTTTCGCTCATTAACTCACTATTCATTTTATCATAGTGCCTTGAAAAATTGTAAACATCATTGGGGGCCCGCAAGCCCTTTTCCGTAGAGCGTAATCGGCCGTTTTCATTCTACATAGAGCATAGACGGACTGCTCTTCGCATTTTGCGTAGAGCATATTTGCCATTTTAATTCTTCGTAATGCGTTGTAGCCACTTGGAATTTATCATAAAGCGTAATCGAGGGTTTCCGAATTCAGCGTAGAGCGATGTCGGGACCCCCCCTTGCAGGCCCTCATCATTGTTTGAAAGGTATTGTTTACAATATCATTATCAAAGTGTCAAAGAGTTGTATTGAATCCCTTACGTTACAGATCGAGGAAGACCATCCTTTGATCCAAAAGTCAGCAAAGAAGCATGTGGTCTTCTTCTATGGAACCCATGAAATGTAAGTTGACAATAAACCGACAATTATGTTTATATGCTGTTTTGTACATTGTATATCAAACTGTTACCTGTGGTCTTGTAGTTTGTCACAAACTTTTTATATTCTTCTTATTAAAATGCATGAATAAACTAAACAGATTTGTAATGCCTGTGAAATACAACTGAACAGGACGTGCAATAAACAATGTTGAATGTACTCTTACATTTTCTGTTTCAGAGGCACAGTGTCCATCAAAGACCTGTATCCTTATGAGCAGTTCAAAGACAAATTCGGCCGTCCCAGCAGTCGTAGAGGTTTTATGGAAGGTCTCCGTGAGATTGAGGACAACCCTGCAGTTCAGCATGTAAGTTTATTGTGGTTCCATCAGAGCGTGGAAATGAATAACACTTTGACAATGACATTGGGACATTTTTGTGTCCCGAGACAAATTATATAACATTAATGCCTTAAAGTGAGTGTGTATCAGTGTAGCCTTAGCATCCTTTTCCATGTCCTCTCTTGGTGAGGCAAGGGAGTTCAATTGCACAAGAGACATGTAATATAGAGTTGAAATAATGGTCTAAGAAGAATAGCTTAGACAAGGTTATAGCAACCAATTGGAATATTTCATTCTACAGGTTGAGGTGGATGATGATGACGAGGAAAACACAAGTGAAGAAGAGGAGGAGGAGATGGAAGAATGTGAGTGGGAGAATGAAGACTCTGACAGCGAGGATGAGAAGGGGATAGACGATGACATCAAAGACGAGAGAAGTGAGAAGAAGAGCGAGCCATCCAAATCCCCCGGCAGCAGCCCCAAACGCCAGGCTGAGGTCCAGTCCTGGAGCTGGGACACGGAGAGCGACTCTGATGATGATGATGATGGTGATGATGGTGACGTGCCGACTCCCCGGCCGGGGGCACAGAGTGAGATCGAGGAGAGGAGACGTAAAAATGTGGAAGAAAATCGGGCCATGGTGAGAGTTGACTTTTATCGTAAACCATATTGTATTTTCACTTGAATGTCCACCTAGTGCTTAGAAGTTAGAACTCTACATGACACAAAACATATTGTAAAATGATCCTTTTCTACTAGCAGTACTTAAAGTATAAAAGTGTCAAAATTAGTACTAGTGCTCAAGTATCTGCTTGGAGGGAAAGGATAAATCATATATAGTTGTTTTAGTCATGTCAAGCTGGCTGTACTAGCACATACATGTATGTAATAAAGCAACAAAGTGATGACTTCAATTTTGTTCATTCTTGCAGCTGAAGCAGGCATTGGCAGAGCTGAAGTCTAATCCAGAGTTTAACATCCCGCTCAAGAAGGCAAGAAAGGTAAATGTTTTCTTTCTTACCCTTATCATATTTTGTCTTGTGATAGATAAACATTCTAAATCAGAAAGGGAACAAATTGAATTGGATCAGCAAAAAAGCTTGACCTTATTGCAGTAATTTACATTGCATTTGTTTATCATTTTACATCCAGTCACCCTCCAGAAGAAGAACAATGGGTGATGACAACTTCGTGCCCAGGAGAAACCCGAAGCGACTGAGCTACTGCAGTACCAGGACAAGTCCTCCCATGACTCGGGCTCGTGGCAATGACAACAACAACACCCCAGTAGGGCACTTAAGTTTCATGTCAACATTACTAGTATACAATACAATAGATTCGACTACATGCATGCTGCTGTATTATATAGTCATTCCAGCCATGCTTTTCAAAAGCAAAATTTCAGTGTGCACCCATTCATTTTCATAATGTGCTGATGGAAAGGTGTCATCAGTACTAGTAGTTAAAATCCTTCCCACATCTTTAGGTATATAGGGCAATACTCATCTCCATTCTATTGCCCTTGAGCCACACAGTTTTGCAAATGCTGTAGCAGTGGGCTAGTAACCATGTATTGAGCAGCCAACTCTCAAATTAAATTTGGTCATTTTTGTTATTTTTTTGTCCACTATTCACTGTGTCTCTTAAATTCTGTAGTCAGCATTGTCTTTCTGTCATTAAGATTTTGTGGCTTTTATTTCAGAAACTACGTTTTAAGTTTGGCTTCATGTTCAGCTCAGAGAAAAGACAAGGAAGCGATGGGGAGGATGAGGATGAAATCGCCCTTGAGGTAAGAATTATCTGTGCATGAAATAGGCAATGCTTGTCTATGTGTATTCTTTTTTAGATAGGCAGTGCTCCTGTGTACTTGATGTAGATAGCACTTACAAATGCTTGGGCACTTTTATGAGTGATACAAATTGGTCTGGCCTAATAGAAACCAGAGCCATGCACAGATGGAGACCATTGCAATAGTTTTGGTCACAGATAATTAGATAAACACAGATTGTGGCATACATGATCTGTACTAATCTCATCTGAAAGAAGGCAGCAGGAAGCCAGCAGAAAATGCACTTAGATATTGTGAAAGAAGATGGTTGTTGAAAGAATATTGATGTCGTATTTTTATCTCACCAAAGGAAAGAGAGCTGCCCCAGCCCAAACGGCGGAGAAGTGGGGGCTACAGGGCACAGCCTCACCGTGTCGTGCCGGTGGAGGAGATCACAGAAGAAGACTTGGAGCTGGTAGCAGACAGGGTGGCTGATAAAGTGTACAATTCTGTTCATGTAAGTATTCGATGGATGTACATAAAGTACAGTCAACACATAATGGTTGCTCACAACCAAACAGTGTCCTGCAACATAACATAGAACTCAGAATCACATAAAGATATGCCACTGTCCAGTCAAACACACTTTAGATACATGGTTTCACAGAGGTTTTAAACTGTTTGCTTCCAGGGTACAAGCTGCCATCAGTGTCGACAGAAGACTGCAGACACCAAGACAACCTGTCGCTCGGAGACCTGTGTTGGCATCAGAGGACAGGTAGTGATTCATTTTGGCTATGTCTCAGGATGGAGCCATGTCTTACAGATCTTTTTGAATGTGAATTCACAAATATCAATGATGTGATGCATGTTTATTATACAATCATCAGATGTTGATACAATGGTATAAAAAGTTTCATAACATTTTAAAGTCTTGGTTCAGTAAAGACTGATATATTATGAAAACATGTTTCAAATACAGCATGAAAGTTAGTTCACCTGACATGGGGTATAGACTTACCACTATGGGCTGTGGCATGTTTGACAGTGTGAATGCAAATGATGACAGTCTTTAACTTGACTTTCAGTTCTGTGGACCTTGTCTACGCAATCGGTATGGAGAGGAAGTCAAGGAAGCACTGATGGATCCAGTTAGTATTATCTGTGTTTAGTCATGCCCTGTCTATCCTTTCATTGGTTAAAACAATGTGTAACTAGAGTTCCCCGATCTCATACCTTCGCCAAATGATGTTAATCTTTATGACTAACAAATTATAGATTATTCTCCCTTGATTTAACAAATAGGATGCTCATTTTCATGAATTATATAATTTTATCATATTCTCAACCAAAAGACAGTCTTATATTAACAAACAATGCCATTCTAGCATTTCCTAGTAAATTATGCAAATGAGGTCCTAATTTGAATACATTATGTTTAATGATGTTCACCTTTACTTATCTTTCAAATACCACAAGTATGAAATTCCAGGCACTTATCATTACATAATTATGAAATTTTCTCATTAATTATGCAAATTAGGTCTTCATTTACATAATCAATATCTGCCTGTGTTTCTCTCGTTCTCAATTACCAATTTCACAAGCTTCAATAGTCCTATCATGGAATACAGCTGATTTACAGAATTTCCCCATAAATTATGCAAATTACATCCATATTTGCATAATTGTCACATAATTATATTAAGCATCACGTAAGCTACCTACATACCAAAAATCACGACTATTCGTCAACCGGTTCTTGAGTTATCCTCTTTTGAATATTTTCAAACATATAGCCCTGCAGTTCCAGAGCAATCCACTAGGGGGCCCAAACTTACGTCACTTCTTCCCCAGCACAAGAGCTACCTACCATTCAAATTTCGTCACCCTAGCATGTCTAGATCATGAGATATGAAAACCGGAAGTTCAGCTGCAGTACCATAACAAGACACTAGGGGTCCAAAATCTAATCATTTTGACGTCTCATCAAGACCTACCCACCTACCAAGTATCAAGACAATCCCTCAAGGCCTTCTCAAGTTATCGTGTTTACAGACACACACACACACACACACACACACACATACACGAACGCCTCT